GCTGTATCATCTGCAAACTTTACAATGTGACAGCCTGGATGGGTAGCTGCACAATCATATGTGAGCAGAGTAAACAGGAGGGGGCTCAACACACATCCCTGAGGAGAGCCAGTGCTGAGGGTTATGGTGGAGGAGGAGAGGTTGTGGATCCTCACTAACTGTGGTCTGTTTGTTAAAAAGTCTAGTACCCAGTTGCAGATGGAGGGGCTTAGTCCTAGTGTGGATAGTTTGTCCATCAGGGTTTGGGGGATCATGGTGTTGAAGGCGGATGTGAAGTCCACAAAGAGCATACGGACGTAAGAGTTTTTCTGCTCCAGGTGGTTGAGCGCAGTGTGGACCACAGAGGAGATTGCATCCTCTGTTGATCGGTTCTCACGGTATGCATACTGATGAGGGTCTTCGTTGATGTTGATGGTTGTTTTGATGTGAGTCATGACCAGTTTTTCAAAGCATTTAGCGACTATCGTGGTGAGGGCCACTGGCCGATAGTCATTCAGACCAGTCACTGTAGAGCTTTTTGGGACTGGGATAGAACAGAAAGGATAGTAGTAGTATAGGATAGTAGTATAGGATCTATAACAGTATAGAAAGGATAGGATAGGATAGGATAAGAAAGGATAGGATAGGATAGGATAGGATAGGATAGGATAGGATGGGAAAGGATAAGAAAGGATTGGATTAGAAAGGATAGGATAGGATAGGATAGGATAGGATAAGATAGGATTAGAAAGGATAGGATAGGATAGGATAGGATAAGATAGGATAGGATAGGATAAGAAAGGATAGGATAGGATAGGATAGGATAGGATAGGATAGGATAGGATAGGATAGGATAGGATAAGTACTTCATTAATCCCCTGCTGGAAGTTGTGTTTCATATTTAGTGGGTTTTTTTCTGAAAACTCAATTCTCTGCTGTATTTATTTGCTATATAAAGTGAAGTTGCATATTTTTATTTGATTTGATGCTGTTGGGATTTCTGTTTTGCAATTTTTTTTACTGCTTTTAACATTTTTTTTTTATCTCTGTCAAATGGATTGGACACACCAGAATTGTGTGATTGAAGAGGGGTTTTATATGGACAAATGAGACAATTTTACTCGAGACTGATGACAAGAATAAAAGCTGTGAGATCATTACATTGATCTTCAATCAATTACCCCTATTTGCTCTCCCCTTTCTGTTCTTTTTGTGTCTTTCTCCCACTTATCAGACCATCTTTAGTCAATTGTTACTGCAGTTGTCCTCACAACAAAGAGTACATCTTTTAGCCATTTTCGTTTGGTCAGTATTGAGCTTACAGTATGTCTTTACAATGTTACATTTTTTTTACAGGTTTTTTTAAATATCATGCTAGAAGAATAACCATTTTCTTGTAATTATTGGGCCATACTATGTAGCTTAGATGTAACTTTGATTCTAAATTGCTAATTATGTATATTTTAATATTAATAAAGAACTGAGCAAATCATATACAATACCATACCATACCATACTTATAAAATGCTTAAAAATAGCAACAATGCCAACCACAGTGCTGTACAGCAAAACAAAACAAGCAAAGGACATAGCAAAAAATACTTAGATCACAGAGGTACAAATAAGAACTAAATGACTAGCATTATATAATACAGACAAGTTAAATCAGCACACTCAGTGTCAAAAGCCAGGGAATAAAGTGAGTTTTCAAACGAGACTTAAAAACAGTGAGAGAGGGAGCCTGCCTGACATGCAGTGGTAACTCATTCCACAGTTTTGGACCTGCAACAGAGAAGACCCTGTCACCTCTGAGCTTAAAACAAGTGCCTGGAACCAATAAAAGCATTTGGTCTGCTGACCTCACAGAGCGCTGTGGGACATATGGCTGCAGCAGATCAGTGAGATAGGAGGGGGCACAACTGTTCAGAAATTTAAAAACATGCAGAAGTAATTTAAAATGAATTTGAAAGTGAAATGGGAGAATCATATAAGTAAGCAAATAAAGGAGATCTCCCTCTGTAAACACAATTAGTAACATATTTTGTCAAGAATAACTAATCATGGATCAAATTATTTTTGTTTGTTTAGTGAAATTTAAAAATAAGACATCATGAAATTTTTGGTGGAAACAGAGGTAAAGTATGGACATATGCTGGTGAAGATTCTCAGTCATCCAGGACATGGTAAATTCAAAGAAACTTCAAGACAAAAACAACAGGACTTCATTTGTAACATTAGACATTTCACTTCTCGGAATGTCTAATGTTACAAATAAAGTCCTGTTGTTTTTGTCTTGGAAGTTTTTTTTTTAATAAAGTATGGCCATTTTATGCATAAAACATTGTTCTCAAATAAAATCACAAAAAAAAGTAACTGTTATTTTATTGCACTAACTTCAGTTTTGTGTGACTTTGATGTTGTAGGCATCAGTCAACCAGGTGTAGATGTTATAAGGACATCTGACCAGAGAAAAGAAGAGTCATCTGCATCATAAACACAACTTAATAATATTCCCCAACAGAAATATATGTATATGAAAAAACAGTACCAAAAACTGTGAAATTCATTAATGACTCAAATTTTTGTGAAACATTTTGTTAACACAAACTAGACGTTGAATATTTTCCCCACCTTTCTCCCTCTCAGTTGACCTGAATCGTCTCTATGATGACGTCAAGCGATACAGCTGCACTCCTCGTAACTATTCTGTGAACTTGAGGGAAGAGCTGAGGACCAGCAATGCTGTCTTCTTCCCTCGATGCTTGTTGGTGCAACGCTGTGGTGGCAACTGTGGCTGCGGGACTAAAGACTGGAACACTGGCTGCACCTGTCGACCATCAAAAACAATATCCAAACTGCACGAGGTAGATTTTGTATCATGAATAAGCTTTAGACTTATCAAACAATTTTGTTTTTAAGGTATTGAATTAACAAATGAATTGACCTGAATGCTTGTGTTATTACAAGATGTGGACTTCTTATCGTTTCCAAATTTCCAAATAAATGCTTGTGGAAACCTGGCTTATCTAGTAATTGAGCCACTTTCATGGGATATTTAAACATAAACTCTTTTTAAATATCCACAATCCCTGAGTGAATTTCTGAAGGGAATAAAAACGGTGTGTGAGTGGAAAAAAAAAAGAAAATCAGACGCTGACTGAGGGAAGTGCAGGAAGAAACTGAGTGAGCAGAGACCATCATTGCAGCAGCAGGGATGCAGAAATGCACCAGCAACCTTTTCGTTTCTATCCAGCTATTTTTCATCCACCTTTCTTAAGTGTTCTGTCTTTTTTTTTCCAGTCGCTCTCTGGGCCTCCAACATCCTTTCATTTTTCCCAATTCCCATTTTCAATCTGTCCCTTTGTGATGCACTTATTCTTTAAGCCCATCATTCACTTATTTCTGTCACTTCCCTCCATTTCTTTGTGTCTTTGTTCGTGTATTGCTTCATTATTGAAACGTGGCCCACAGAGCTTTTTTTCTGCTTCTATTCTACTCACTGTTAAAAATCCTACAATAGGAATTAAATAGAAAACAAAAGTAGGATTTGGTTTGTAATCGTGTTGTGTGTGTATTTGCATCTGTGTCATTGTTTGATGCAAAGCATGGGAGCATGAAAAGTCCATTGTGTTTGCAGATATGTAGAGCAGTCTGAATCTGGGTCTACGTGAATCTGTTTTGTTGGTGAGAAATTTCCAGCTTTCCCAGTTTCCTAGATGGCACTTTTAACTGGTTCCTTCAGTAGCTTAGCATGTAAAGAAACATTATAAGTGACACTGTCCCTTTTCTGCTGGAAAGTCCTCACATTTATCACTACTAGTGTCAAGATTTGGACAACAAATGTATTAAATCTTTTGTGAAACAATCTGTACCAATAACATTTTTACAATCGAGGTTGCACCTTCCAACAATGCTGACTACACTTTTTTTAAAATATCAATCAAACTTAGTCTTCTATTATGTTACTCTGCACCTTTACATTTTCTTTTAGTGTTTTGGTACAGTATATTGTCTGGATTCTACATATCCTGATGCATGCTCAATAAGAGCCTGAGCTGAATACAGCACCTCAGACTGAGGAAGTCTCTTGGATGAGAGACGAAACGTTTCTACATTTTTTTGTTGTTTTTGCTTTATTTTTATTTTTTTGAATGTCCAGAGGACCAGATTTAACTTTTTTGGATTATACATAGTTAGTTTGCAACCTGATCTCCATCACATTGTGTCTGAGTTCCAAAATAATATAACCATTTCAGTTTACTTAGTTAATGTAAAGACAAAACACTCTAGTTCATGATTTCTATGTCTGCTCGGCCTATAACATGAATTCAGTCCGATTACCAGTCCACCAAGTTTTACCAGGTTCACCAGCAGTCAAGCACATAGTTTTTAGACTGCGCTGTTGTACACACCTCATACATCTGAAAGAGTGACGCCAGATATACAAAAGACAATATACATATAATGTATATATACACACGTATATATGGTGGTGGCCATTTTGGATTTTGGCGTGGCAACCCAATTTTCTAAAGGAAACTTTCTTATGCCTAGATGTAGCCTCACCAAAATGAAAGCCTGTACCGCACATTTTTTCCCAAAGTTATTGTGCTTAAAACATGCACAGATGGACAAACGGAGGGTATTTCCAATTACCCCTTTTTGCTCCATGGCAGGTGACAAAAAGACCACAAGACAAAGAGGAAAAGTATCAAGGATGTTTGTGCTTGAGTGCATGTACAAATGATTTGCCTACATGAATGTGAAACGTATGAACAGCTATGTTTCTGCCTTATCTGAGAATAATTTTGTGGATGGACCCAAACGCAGGCAGGCAGAAGGCTGGGTCAGGAGAAAGCTACGTACTTAAATCACTAAACTCAAAGTAAAAACTGCAAATCAGCTAACCAACAACAACCATGGGGTTTACAACAATATGACAATGATGTGATGAACACAGAGAGAATAAAGTATAAATGAAGGCAGTCAAATGTGTTGATTACATATAAAAGAGTCAGATTAACCAAAAGGTAAAATTTTATTTATTTATTCATTTATCTTTATTTAACCAGGCAAATCCCATTGAGATCACAGATCTCTTTTGCAAGGGACGCCAAATGACAATGACACCCAAACAGAGCAAAATATATGGGATAAACAAAAATGCCTCCAAAAAAAATCTACAAAGACCCAAAGTCATGACAAATAAGAGTTTAGAAATCTTGTTCCAATCCAGCATTTACTGTAATAAAAAAGCAAACATTTTCAACACATTAGCTGGAAAACTCAGTTAAAAAATATGATTGACGTGACTTTGTGGGGGAGGGCATTCACATAGAAAAAAAGTTGTCAAAAGACCTGCTTGCACTTACATGCTATTCAAATGTTCTAACAGCTGATATAGGAGAGGAGACCTGTATGTGTCTCCAGCGTGAGACTTCCTTCTGCCAACATGGGGGCATTAAGGCCACGATGCAGTTCAGAGTTGGGGGTTCACAGTAAATAAAACTACAATGTTGTATCGGTGGTCTGTCTAACAAGAAGAAAGAAGACTTCAAGTAGGCTCCGTCCAGGACAGTGAGACACCACCACTCAGAGAGAGGATGGACCTCAGGAGTGAGACACAGGTGGGCCCAGCAGAAGGGCTGTGAAGACCAGCACAGACACACAGGAAGTTGTTTCATCTGACAGACATGAGTCTACCATGAGGCTATAATAAATGACAGAAATGACTCAGTTCTGTAATTTTAAGAACAAGAACACCTTCTTTCTCAGCTGCTGTAGGAAATCCAGACGTGACAAAGCAACAAAGTTCACCATGTTCCAGTCCTTCTCAAATAGTGGGGCGCACCCCCTGGGGTGGCCCGGGGCAATGCCAGGGGGGTGCATGTGACCCTGGGGAACATGTTTGTTTTGCCGCAGGGAGTAGGATTTTTTTTTGTTTTTTTTCACCATTCTCATTTTGTCACGTGCGTTCCAGCATCTTGTATCGCTCAGTCTTACCAATAATAAAGTTAGGAACAAATATGACTGTCTTGTCATTTTGGGAGCCATGCATGAACCGTGTCGCTCCCCTCTGCTGCTGAGACGATAAAGAAATAACTCCGACACCTCAGCTGCATGTGTTAATGTGTTTTCACTCACAGCGCACATGCAACAAAGAGTAAACTCAAAGCAAGAGCGACACCTGCCCCCTCGTTCCTCTTTAGCGTTGGCAACATGTTTTAGTTTTATCGATGAGTTTGTCAAAGCACAATTTACAGAAGTAACGTTTAATAAATGTTACGACGCTATTCTTTGCTAACAAAATATATTCACCTCCTCAGTGAAGCTGCTGTTTTCATGACGTTCTGGATGTCATCCACAGCATGCATGCGACAAAGAGTAAACTCAAAGGGAGAGCGAAAGGCACCATCTTAGCATCAACATAACTGGTTTGTTCCACTTTGGAGTAATTGTTGGGGGAAGAATCAGTTTTGTGTTGTGTGTTTCCTTGACTGATGAAGCCTTCTGGATGGAAGGTGAAACGTTTCATCACAATCAAAAAGAAACTGTCCAGATGACCTGACTGCAAATTGTTGGATCATACACCTGGATTATTGAGCATGGACTTTGTTCAAAGCGAGAGGGTTACCTGCCCCCTCTTTCCTCTTTCGCGTTGACAAAATGTTTTTGTTTTATTGATGAGTGTGCTCATTGATCTTGACTTCCTCATATTGATTTAAAAAATCAGCACACATCTTTTTATTTATTTTTGTTTTATAGGTCAAAGTGATTTATGAGTCAAAATGTTGCTGATCAATTTGAATGTATTATTATTTATTGCTTATATTTTATTTTATTGTTCAGTATCAAATGGTCAAAATGTATACAGTTTAAATAAGGATTTAAGTGTTGTTGTTTTTTCAGGCAAATTGATGCACTTTAAGTTGTTTCTGTTACAGACTAAAAATAATGTTCATAAAGTTATTCTTCGTTGTAAGTTGATCTAGATTCATTTTTTTTCTTTAATGTTAATAAGGACACATTGTTATGCAGGGGTGTACCTATAACAATTTTATATACAAATGATACTGTTTACAGTCGTGGCAGAGAGTGGGGGGGGGGGGGGGTTACATCTTCCTAGTGGGGGCATAACAGAAAAGAATTGAGAAGCACTATTCTAAATGAAGTATAAAATGGGAAGCCATCTTTGCCAAAAGAAACCAACCATCATTAAACCGGGGCAGAGGCCTCCATGTTCAACTGTCCCCCTCTTACAATGCTGTTATTGCTAGTATCACTCAGCCCCCTGTAAATAACAAGCGGCCATCAGGGTGCTAACGATCCCTTGTTAGGCTGATGGTCCTCCTTTCTCATGTGAACAGCTAGTTCTAGATGTCAACAACAAACTGGTTGATCCACTATGAGAAGGTGCTATTTATAAGACTGAGTTTTTACAGCTCCTCAGACTGAAGAAGTCTTTTCGATAAAGACGAAATGTTGAAACATTTTAAAAAATATATTATTATTATTGCATCTGTCCAGCGGCCCTGACTTAACTCTGTTAGATTTTTCTACCTGGATTATTGAACGGGCAGCACGGTGGCGCAACTGGTAGCGCTGCTGCCTCTCAGTAAGCAGGTCCCCGGTTCCAATCCTGGTCCGGGGGCCTTTCTGGGTGGAGTTTGCATGTTCTCTCTGTGCATGTGTGGGTTTTCTCCAAGTACTCCGGTTTCCTCCCACAGACCAAAAACATGCATGTTAGACTGATTGGTAACTCTAAATTGTCTCTAGGTGTGAGTGAGAGAGTGAATAGTTGTTTGTCTCGTTTGTCTCTATGTGTCCCTGTGATGGACTGGAGACCGGTCCAGGGTGTCCCCCGCCCCTCGCACAGTGATTGCTGGGCATGGGCACCCGTGACACCCGTGACACCCGTGATCCAAAATGGAATAAGCGGGTAAAAGATAATGGATGCATGGGTGGGTGGATGGATTATTGAGCATGCATCAGGATATGAAGTTTAAAATACTTTTCCTGCAGATTATTAGTTTTTTAATATAAAATATCTGGATTTTGATTTTTTTTTTTGGTTTCGTTAAACAAAAAAAAAGGAGTAAAACCAATACAGTGATATGTTGTGCAACCCAGGTTAAGACTTTAAAACGTGTTTCTCTTTTATTCTATGATAGTTGAGTTTCATATGCTTCTGACGGAGGATTTACCCTTTTGTTCTTTTGTCTGTCTCCCACAGGTGCTGAAGTACGCCCCCGAGGCTAGTCTGTATAAGAACCAGCAGAGGCAGCGGGTGCGCTGGGTTATCGAAGAAGTTTTCCTTTTACACCATGAGTCATGCGAATGTGACTGTCCCCTCCAGCCTCCTCGCTAGGACACTTTTTGTTTTGGTTTTTGGGTCTGAAACTGATGGATGAGATATATTTTTGGCTGTTTTCAAAACGGACTTTACTTAGCAAATGACTGCTGACCAAGCAAAGAAGAAGCCAGTGACAGACGGATGAAACGCAGTTGTATTCTGCTCAAAGACATCAACTCTTACACGTCAACTAGTTATTTTTCCTGCAGGCCATCTCTCACTGTAGAAACCCATAAATGCTTTCAATCAAACATGCTTTACCTTTTCTACAAACAAAACATTACTCTTTGTGCAACATTTAATAGCATCACTTTTCAAACCGGAAGTGGAGCTTCTGCTATGGAACCAAGCTTGAATTTAACTAAATGTTTTCCTTAAACAACGTACTGAAGATGAAAAAAATTTAATACAACTTTATTTTTGAAAAAAAAAAGTTTTGATAAATTCCAGCTTGACTTTGTCTATGACGGAGCTTTAGGGCCACACTAAGAAATAAAATAATTAAAAACCATAAAATTATGAGAATTACGTCGTACAAGACTTTTTTTGACAGCTCACCTTTTTTTTCAGGAGTCAGATCCATGAAGCGACTTGTCAATCAATCCAGTAGGCGTGTCAACAAATGACCAATCCGAAGCTAAATGCTCCTATAAGTGAGTCACTGGATCTCTTCAGCATCTTTCTGGCATATTTACTGAAGACCTCTACGCACAGTTTCTCTCACTGAGCGCCATTTTCAAACGGAAACAAAAATGAAAGTTATGATGTAATGACGTCACATATATGCATCCCAGCAGCAGCATACAAAAACACAACAGTAGGGGGCAGTATTGGAACAAGTTTTGCGTAAGAGCGTCAATAACAATAAAGTTTCACAAACATTCTTCATTTTACCATAGTTAAAATGTAGTAAACCATTGTGTCGGAGTTCAGATAATATTACGAGTCATTTAGCTTCGGATTGGTCATTTGCCGACACGTCTACTGAATTGATTAACAGGTCGCGTCGTGGATCCGACTCGTGGGGAAAAAAAGAATGACAGCTGTAAAAAAAAAAGTTTCGTACGACTTTATTCTCATAATACGACTTTATTATTGTAATTGTATGGCTTTTATGTTTTTTTTTCTTAACGTGGCAATGTAATTTTTTTTTTTTTTTTTTAGCGTGGCCCTAAAGCTCCGTCATAGTGTTCAACCCAAACATACATCAAACATGTAAGCAGTCAGTTTTTTTCTTTTCTTTTTTTTTGTCTTTGTATGTGGCAAAAAAATAAAATAAAAAAAGACTGTTTCTAGAATCTTAGTGAAGTTCTCTGCCAGGAGCAAGCTGAGATGAGTACGTGATAGACAGAAGGATGGAAGAAGAAGAAGGGCTTGAGGAATTTTACACCAAAATAACACATTTCTAGATGTGAAATTAGGCTAATGACAACCCTTCAAATTAAAATTTCACACCAACACACTCACATTCTCGCTAGGCAACCTAAAAGCAAAAAAAAATAAAATGCAGCCATGTGTGCAGAATGTGTTTATTTTTCCTCGTGTCTTGCCTGAATAGAGCCAGTCTTGTTGCTTCTCCATCCAACTCCACACCTTGTTTCTGTCTGTCTGACACACATTCTTGTGCACACTGCTCTCACCACTCTCCCTCTAATGCATCAAAGAAGATGTCAGATCAGGCTGCAGCTCTGTGTGCCCAGTTTTTCGGAGCATTCCTGACATTCCGGCTGCCGAGCGGAATTCGGCTGTAGCGGATAAAACCGTGAACCTCAGTCCTCGAACACATAATACAGGAACCGGATGCAGAAACTCAGGAAGAGAAACAGAGGAAGTTTTTAGGAAAGGTGTCTCACTCCACTCGTCTATTTGTAGATTTGACTTGAGGATGAGCGAAACAAAACCAGAGCAACGCTATTGGTCTTCGCCAAAAAGACAAGCAAAGTACAACGGATGCAGCTCAGGAAGAAGTCCTTCTGTTTAAAGGGTGGCGGGTTTTCTAGCAGTCTGAAAAGCTGGAGACAGAAACAAACGTGAACAGTTCATGTGTCTAACATGTCGGGAACGCCAACAGGGCAAGGATTCAGATGTCCACAAGAACGACACAGCTGGACATCCGTCATCTCTCTTTCATCACCCTTCAGTCCAACTGGTCCAACACTTGGGCTGGATTTCAGCTGAGAAAACTGAATTTACACACTACTTTTGTTACAAAGACAGAAATAAAACTAAGTGGACACGGAAATGATTCATTAGTCACAGTGAAACCAAATCAAAGCAGCATTTTTATGTGAATACGTGTACCGATTGATGGTCACGACTGGTATTTGCCAGATGTGGAATACTAACACTTGAATTTTGAGTCACACTCCAAATAATTAGAGGCAGACATTCTTCATACGCTGTGCCCCCCCCCCCACACACACACACACACACACACTTCAGTTTGGCTGTCTCTTATCCCAAAAAAATCCATCTTCATGTTTGTGAGCCTTTGATTCCTGTTTCTTGTAAGATTTTTACCAAACAGAGATAAACACAATCTGTATAACATTGATGATATTTTTTGTTAAAATTTAAAACAAACTGTAGATTTATGCTTCTTTAGATTTAATTTCATGTAACAGTATTATGTCATCAGTTCATTACATTGTTAACTCCAAAGTGCCTTTCTTCTTTTTCTACATAGGTTTTCTCCTTCATTACAATGCAAAGACAAAAAATAAAAATTTCAATTGACATCCTCATACTTCGGGGGAAATTACACCAAAAGCACAAATTAAACTTTTATTACCGTTATTTATTGTCTTGCTTTCAAATGTAAGTCTGAAGTTTGCTTCACCTCAAATGGCTGTGCTGTTTTCACTTCAGAGAAAGTTACTGGTTCCAGTTTGAACAAGCAAAAGTCAACCTGAAAACAATTCATGACAAAACTCACTATGCTTCTCCTTAATAATTTATTGTGTCTTTCTGTATTGTCCTAATGAAATATCAGCTGGGTGGTTTTGATAAATAAAATATTTGTAGCAGTATTGCATTAAGTCCTTTGTTTGTTTCGTTCTTTCTCTCCATAAACTAAGATTGATTTAACTGCAGCAGATTTTATTTGAAGCTGAATGACTTGTTTTAGAAGCTTTTGAATAAAGTGTAAATTATGTCTTGTGTTTACGTTGGAACATATTAACTTGATAAAGAGAAAATCAAGAAGGAACTGAAGATAAAGCTGAAAAAATATCTGAGGAAGGCAAAAATGTGCAGGTGTTGCAGGTATGTTATTCAGGAGAAGAGGTGACATCATCACAGGGAGATGATGTGATGTGCTGTAGGAGTGACAGCTTCAAGGTGGAGGTGGGAGTGCATCAAGGATCGGCTCTGAGCCCCTTCTTGTTTGCTCTGATGATGGACCGACTAACAGACGAGGTCAGACATGAATCCCCATGGATTATGATGTTTGCAGATGACTGTGATCTGTGCTGAGAACGGAACAGGTGGAAGAGAACTTGGAAAGGTGAAGCTAAGACAGAATACATGTGTGTGAATGAACGGGAGGTCAGTGGAACAGTGAGGCTACAAGGAGCAGAGGTCACAAAGGTGCAGGGCTTCAAGTACTTGGGGTCCACTGTACAGGAAAATGAGGAGTGTGGTAAAGGAGTGAAAATAGAATCCAGGCAGGATGGAGTGGATGGAGAAACGTTTCAGGAATGATTTGTGACAAAAGGGTGGCAGCAAAGATTAAAGGAAAAGTTTGCGAGAGAGTAGTAAAACCAACTA